GGGATTTGAGCCGTACTTGTTCAGCATGCCAAAAATGCCAAAGTACTCGCTGATAGGCTGATCATTTTTAGCAGCTTTTCAGCAACCGTTCTTACGCATCACCTTTCATGATCATTAATTTTTGTGCCAATGCATGAGATTAGTTCAAATCTATTCATAACACTAGAAATCTGGAAGGACTTGTTACCCAAAGCATGGGGTAAGTGATGGAGTAGATGGAATTTTGCAGAGTGCTTTAAACACGGATGATTCGCATTTTTAGAAAGGCTTTACTCTCTTCTTCGCTCTACACGTAGGAATGCGGGGATGCATACTAAATATCCTAAATTAAAATGGGATGTGCGTCCTTGTTCCGTATTCAAAAACTCCAAATAGACCTTTTTGATGAATCGTCCTTGCAGAACTGAGGCAGAGAGTTGAATTTAGACCTTTATAAAGTCCAACTGGCTTCAGGGTGAAATTATCATGTTCTTGAGAAATTTTCGCTTTCCGCAGGATCGTTGAGCAAGGCCTATAGTTTCAACTTGGTTGCCATTTTCCTCCAATTAAGTAGTGCATTCCGTTTAGCGCATCGTCTAGCAATATAAAAAGTCTCAGCGTGCTATGTGATGCATCACTGCATCGTTTGAATTTACTAAATATTCTGTGCAGGAATAATATAAACTTTTATAGTCAAACGAGAGCCATGTGAATGGCTGGCTGTTAAGTGTTGAGTTCAGAAATGTGGCATACTCACGTATTCGCAATTCAGCATTTTCTCTAGGCAGACTCTGATAGGAGGTGAATCTAGTTCTAGAAAAATTCCGTACTAAAATGTGCGGTCATAGATCTTACTCGGAGTAGGTAGAAGGCTGAACCGTCTCCCTAATAGTTTTGCACTCAGTCTTCCAATGGTTTCAGTCCCCTGACAAACAGACAAGCACGACAGTCTGCGTAAGAAGTTGCTGAATTTCAGTTCTTCTACACAACTGCGCCGAAAGCTAAAAATGTATAAAAATTGTTCATTTATTCACAACCCAAATAAAAATGCTTCCGTTGCGAATAAATAAACCGTCTTTATACATTCTTAATTTTTCGGTAAAACTCTAACATAGGAACAAAATACTCAATCTTCGGATATGGTTAAGCCATTTAACCC